TTTTTTTTTTTTTTTAGCATATGGGACGCAAAACACATGCAAAAGAAAGAGGGAAAATTGAATTAATATGGTAACTGAATCAGGAGAGTGGTTAGAATTAATTGGTAACTGCCATTATGCATTAATGTAAATAAACATTATCTTTTAGGCAAAGTCACAATTAATTGCATGTGTGTGGTAGAGTTGTAAATTTTTAAAAAACGTGTAAGAGAGATAAAAAATTCCCAAACTAATTTTTCTTACACTATCTCCACTACCAAATTCGCTCCTCTACCCAATCTTCTATTGGGCCACTCATCAATTTCTCTAACTGGGCCTATCCCCAGGCCCAAGCACATCTCCCTCCCTGTATAGCCCATACAAAAACCGGAGCCCACTCCTATATAAACCCAATCGTAACTACCTCAGCCCACTCCCTCAAACTTGCGGTTCACTATCACGCAATCCAATGATGCCTCGTTAACCTCTTTTGACATGTTTCTCTATGCGATGTAAAATCATGTGTCCAAATATACTCTTCTAGGCAAAGAACTATTAGGGGTCGTTTACTTTGGGGGACAAGATTAGATATGCATTTTAGTCATGAGATATCCCCTGTTTACTTTAAGAGAATTGGACTATTTTTTACCTACCTGGCGCCCATGTGGCATGAAGGCTCACATGTTCATCCCTCCGTTGCCGATAACTCTATCCCGCCTTCCCCCAAGATAATTTAATCCCAGCAATTATGTACCTATTTTGTCCTCACTTTTCGCTTCCGAAGTACCAAAATAACCTTGGTTGTCCACAATATTACAATATTGTCCCATATAAAAAGTTAAAAATGACATTCTGCCCTAATTCTACTCAGGGACGAGCAGAAAGGAGGAAGAAACAATATTGTCCCATATAAAAAGTTGAAAATGTCATCAATCAAAGTAAATAAGCCCTTAGTGTACCTCAAGTTGAACTAACAATTCGTTCTTATATTCCTTCGTAAGTCCCGCACTAAATAGAGTTACCTTTCAAAAAAAAAAAAAAAAAAAAAAAAAAAAAAAAAAAAAAAAAAAAAAAAAAACGGACTGGTTGAATGTTTTTATCGCTTTAAAGTGATTTGGTGTTCTCTGAAACATGTCATGTGGTGAATTAATTCATGGAACGGCTGTGCTATTTTTGAGATTTTAAAGACAAGTTATTTGCTGACGTTGGATTAAATTTCCAGCTTTAGGTCCCACAGTATGGAATACTCGACTGCATGTTGACCGTCTAAACAAGTACTTGTACTAAAGTCCACATATCCCTTTCACAAACTTAAATCGCGTGAAAAATAACTGATACTTCAAGAATGTGCCCATGTAATGTTCATTAGGACAAAAAAACATCGATGAAGTAAATAGTCACCAGACCAGAGCACATCAGCTTATCGGGCACAATCATATAACGAGCTAGTAAAATAAATTAGGAGCCTTCATGATGATACGTCACTTTTCTCTCACCAGGAAAAAAAAAAAAAAAAATGATGATCTCAGCATTATAAGCCAGAAAATTAGCGAGCAGATCGGGACAAGCCCTAGCGCCTGATGATCGATATTCAGCTGTTTTCGAGTAGCTTTGGCACTGACCTTTTTAGTCTTGTTCGTTGAGACAAGCCAATAATTCTTCATCTCCGTAAGAATCCCATTGCTTGGTAAAGATTATTGAGAGTTAAGTCTGCAATGGATGTAGCTTTACTCGCACCCTCGGCCAAAATGTCATCCAAATAAGTGGGGTCGGATGTTATTTCGGCATAGCGAACCTGAAACATGCATATACTGTTGACTAAACTCGAGTCGAGCTCGCTTTGTTGAGCGACTCGAGATATATGTTGAATTACTAAAATACCCCTTATATATATTACAATAGTATAGCATTGGTGCTTAATGGTAATTTTATTAAAATTTTTAGCTAAACTTGAGCTATTGCACTTTTTGATCGAGTCGAGCTCGAACAGCTAAAAAAAAAAACAATCATGCTCAATAAGGCCAATGCTCGACTCGGCTTCTCGTTTGCAATCCTAGAAGAAAGGATCATGTGGAGAAATGCTTCTTCTTTCTCATTTCTATTTGTATCCACTATATTAGTTCATATGTATACAGAAACTTAGAGCATCCACAATGCTTTGGTTCAATCACAAAAAATTGTATGCAACATAAGAAATAGACGTAGTCTAAAAAAATGTATTTTCCAATGCAAACAAAAGTAGACTGGGTCCTACTGATGTGGCAGCCAGAAAAAGAGACATGGTCTACCCTTAAGTCTATTTTAGACCAAGTCGAGACCTAGTCCCTTTACATTGGAGTGGACTTATCATTTTTACATAGTTTTATCCATGTCATCAAGGACTTGGATTTATTTACATGCCACATAGGCAAGACTAGACCAATGCATTGTAGATGCTCTTAGACACTACGTCCTCGTGGCTCAGTAGAAATTGCAAGAGATGGCTCCAAATAGCTAATCACAAACTAATTTAGCATTAGAATTCAATTTTAGAAGTTTTGAACATGTTAATCTGGAGAGAAACCTGGATTGGGTGTAAATGATCGACTAAAGCATCGGTAAGCAAGGGTTTGAATGTTCCCCAGTTCATATCTCGGCATTCCTCCACAACTTCCTGCATCGATATGATATATCTTCATAAAATAACACTTCCAACCGTTGCAAAAACAAACTCAGAATAAAATTTCTTATCAGATTAAATTTTCAACACATGGCAGTGCAATCAAGTGCCAATGAGGCAGAATATCTATATTATAAATTGAAAATAATAAATAAAAACTGCGAAGGAAGAGAACAATTCGACCCACTGTTCAATACTTTGTTCAGGAATTGTCAACATGCAATATTTCATAACTAAGTCAACTATGTTTACTAAAAGAATATTCATCCATTGTCATCTATTGGTTCATCACAAACATTAGATATTGGAGGAAAAATTATTTGATGTAAATTTGGCAGATTCCTAGACATAATAGATTTTCATCAGACTCTCACGCTATACCATTCATAGTGCTCGACATGATAAATGAAAACAAAAGGTTAAGGAAGGTCATAAACAAATGAATTCCAGATACGAACACCAGGCTAATATTATTGCGCAGCTTGTATTAGATACCTGTTTTGTCTTGCCAGTAACGAGCTGATATATCGAAAGCAGGTTGTTACATTCAGGTCTTTCAGGATTATCAAACTCCAAGCTGCATTATTTCGAAACAATGTCGACAGGCATGATTATTAAACTAAAGAACTACACGTAGTTAACCCAAAATATCAAGACATATCATATATCTGTAATTATAATCATTTATCTAGGCACCAAAAAAAATCAAGAAAAATGCATAGTACAGTTAAATCAAGGATGCTAACCCTGGAAATGAGTCTGTCTTGCAACGTTTTATTTTGTTGGCAATCACCTGCAAAATCAGTAAAGTCTAAGATAGGAGAAGGCAGCACAAAAGATGATACTAGCAGCATATGAACATAATAATAGAGAAAGAAGTCTTTGAAGGCGGATATTTCCCTGAAAACTACAGCAAACTAGATTGTGATTAATTTACGACTCCACATGATGGAGAAATGGTTCGAAGTAGACTCCCCAGTGTTCTCTCTTGAAAACAAAAGTACAATAAAGGAGAAGATATCCGGAACATAATAAATAAACTTACAACTTAGGTGAGAAATAATTTGGTAATTATTATACTTACATCCTTAGAATCAAGCAGATTAATTCGAGATTGATCAGATGGTGCTGATTTAGACATCTGCACGCAAAATTGAAGTCATGGTATTGGTCAAAACCAAGATGAGCAATCTACTAACTTCAGTAAATGTTAATTCAAAAATCTTCCCAAGTAAATCTTATGACACAGATAAAAGACAGAAGATATAGAATTAGAAGAGAGGAACAACTTTCAAATGTTCTGATAACCTTAGAGAGGCCATCAGTTAGAGACATCACACGAGCACCAGTGGGTGGAATAAGCGGCTCGGGAACCTACATTCATCATATCAGTGAAACAAAAGTTAATCCACTCTCCAACTTTACGGGTACCTTAGAACTGTCACTTCAGTAATTGATAACAGGAACAAACCTTAAAGATAGCACCGCCTCGTCTTTAGCAGAAAACAGTTGATTGAACAAAATATTTAGATTTTTCTGATGCCCCAGTAGAAAAAATAACAGGAAAGAACTTGGCACAGAAGGTTTAACTCGTTTATAGAATAAAAAAGGTCCACTGCTCATAAACTTTGAACTATAATGTCATTACCCGCCCAGCTTCTTCCACTTCCTTCCACCATATAGATGGTTAACACGCTCAGCTAGTTCTCGTGTCAGCTCGAGGTGTTGCTTCTGATCCTCGCCAACAGGGACAAAATCAGACTGCAAGGGAAATGTTATTGAGACCAATAAAAAATGTTAGGCTATACAGACAAGCATATGAGATTATTTCTTGGCAAAGAAGATTTACTCACTATTATAGAGTGTACAAATACAATGGATCCTTATTAAGTTCTACAAAAATAGCATATGGCATAAAATTTATTCTAAAAGAAAACTTGAAATAGAATATAAGACATAAGAAGGACAGACAGAATAATTTACTTGATATAAGAGGATATCAGAAGCCATCAGCACAGGATAAGTTAAAAGAGCAACTCCAACATTCTCATCCCCCTGAAGAAAAATGCTAAACTTGTAACAACGATAAAACACTAATTTACTATGGAGAATGATCTCGATATAAGCGATTACACAAATTTATAATTAAGAAATCAAATTCCACCACTTTAGGTCTTCGATATGATGCCTAACATATGATGATGCATATGTTGCGCATACAGACGAAAGTCAACTGATTGCCCAGATATAAGTGGCACCAGCATATCCTGATTGTAAATCAGTGGCCAAAACAATCTAAAAAGATGCAGGTCATAGAATAACTAGGATCAACCTGTAATAACCTAGCATTAAGCATTGGGTCTCATACAAACCATCTTTTCTTACAGAACTAAATCATACTAATAACAACCAGTAGACAATAGTTGATCGATTTCATGGACAGAATAAAGAGTGTTCCCATCAAGAATAAGACTGTTAGGAGACAAGTATACGCTTAGGGTGAAGAGCGAAGTTCCAAAAAGGTTCTTGCAACAACAACAACAATAATGGTCAGTTTTAGTTACCGCAAATTCAACCAGACCATGATGATGCAATTACCTCAATATGACTGTATAAATAAATGTAAAAACAAAAAACAAAACAAAACATGTATCAACATGAGAGTAAGGTAAACATGAAAAAATTACACTCATAGCACTTACAGCCTTCCGTGATTTCTCTTTAAATTGTATCATCCTGTTGAGCCAACCTATTGGGGTGGCAGAACTCAGAAGCCACATCAACTCTACATGAGCACGGACATGAGATTGCACAAAAACTGAAGCCTGCATATGAAAGTTGGATAAACAGACCTATATAGAAATATTACAGCGAATAACAAGCCGCAAAAAGAAAAGAAAAGATAACAAAAACAAAGAAACAGAAAAAAAAAAGGCCAAAATAAAATTGAAGAGTAGACCTTGGAAGTATCCACACCACATGCCAAATAAAGACCTGCAGTATCTTTTGTCGCTTTAGATAATTGTTGTGTATCATATGGCAATGTTATCTGCAAGGAACATATGAGCATGATGTGGTTTAGGAATAACACGTGTCTAACATTGTTTACTTTTCAATTTGATTCTAAATCCACTTCATGCATCCTTCATTGAACAATCATAACTTTGCAAGCATGAGGAATTTAAACAAAGATAATTTTATAATTGGTGATGTCCTGAAAAACACAGAACCTATGAATGCTCCAATATTGAGAATGTTGCAGTTTAAAAGTGGAGAAGCTGGCCAAATCTATCTTGCGAATTTATCGAACTCTAAAAGCATGATATCCAAAACATTTTGATACTTGAGAATTATGAGGCGTTATGTCTACAAAGTAGAAAATTAATGAAAAAACAAGAGAACAAATATTAAGTTAGAACATACCGCATGGAGGTCCACAATAAAAAAGAGTGTCTCATATGTATTCTGCAAGGAGAAAATATGAGGTGAAACAATAGCTGACAGGTTATATTTTAGCTGGACAAAATTGAAAATAAATTTTGCTTTATGAGTGAGACGTGGCAGAATTTCTACTAAAATTTCATAACTAGAAATGTCAGTTGGATAGCTGAAAACAGATATAAACACTATGTGTGAGATCTAAGAAGGTGATAGGCTATCCATATCTTATGTATGTATACTATAATCCCAAGTGTGCAAACTGACGCGCACCACACTTATTTAATAATTAGGTGATGTATGTCACTTTAGTAGGATTATAACACGTTCGTTTTTCTTTCTTTCTTTCCTTTTTTTTTTTTTAATTAACAGTAACAACAACCCACTGAGAAGTCTGAACAAGAAAATGATGTGGTGGCCAGAAAGATTTCTTCAGCCTTCTCATTCTCACCCTTGACTATATACGATTATACTAATGTAGCAAGGCAGAATATTCTCCATCAAATATAGCACCTCAAATGCAACAGTGGGGATCACAGACTGATTCAGGACTACAACCGCTTCGTGCTCAATAATGCGTGCAACATTTGGAAACATACCTGTAAGTCAATCCAATTTTTTATGGCACCAAGATAATTGCCGAGATGTATGGATCCTGTGGGCTGGACACCAGAAACTATTCTCTTCCTATAAAGGAACAAATCAGTATTTGGTCAAGGTGTATCAAGTAATTTTACAGCAAACTAGGGAACCAATAATTTGATTTCATTAGAGCCACACTCGAGCTCTTCGGGAAAAGAAAAAGGTCCTGGGAGATGAAAACCTGGCTTGCCATGTAGCAAAACGTAAGTTCATAATACTTACCTATGTCCACAAATTAAAACAAGAAGATGAAAAATGTATAATTGCCAAGATGACAGTAATCCATTTAGTTTGGAGGAGGTAACTTCTGTGATGACAAGTACTTCGTAGCAATCACGCCTGAGCATTTGGAGATGCTAATACACAATAGAAAAGAGCTGAGATAATATCTACTCAGCATTGGTACACTACATTCCTCTGTAAATTCCGTGCTAGGATAGTGATGGTTTCTTACGAGAACATTCAGAATGTTGCAAGTAGTGGAGTTCATTTTGTTCTCCGATTTGAGGCTTCAAAACCATTAAATTAGAAAGATAAAAATCGGTCTCTTCATAGATCCATACAATATGACATCTACAACATCGTCCACCAAAACTCACAGTAGAATCCTTAACAAAAGTTAGCTACCTTACTAAAAAAAATTCCACGCACAGTGAAGCGTGAGTCTAACACAATTCTAGCAAGGTTTACTACTCGAGAACATACGACACGTTACAATATCCAGAAAACTAAAATTCCATTTTCAAGGCTACAAATACTTCAAACCAGCACTAAATAACCAGAAACTGGTACACCTAAAATGCATTCACAGAACCAAACAAATACAAATAAAACTAACGAATGGAAAATTCGCCAAATTACTTTACGGAGCTCGGAGAGGTCTCAGAGGTCGAAGGCTCGGCGACCGATACGCTGCAAAGGCACCGGAAACCTTCAGCCGCTATCATACGGCGGCGATGGTGCGTGACACCCGTCCTGCTCAAGCATTTGCTCAGATGAACGCCGCATGGCCTGCTTCCATTATCAAACAAACAGATGAAATGATTCAATAAATAAATATACAGACAATTTGAACCACAAAAATGGAAGGGTTGTGAAAGGAAACATCACATTGCGGAGATAGACCGATGAGAAGCGCCGGAGAGCATGAGGAAGTGAGAGAAGATGGAGAGCGCCATTGCTGTTGCTGTTGCTAGCTATGAGCTATTGCCTATTTGTGCTGCTTTTATTCGGGCCTTTGAGATCAACTGGTTATATGATAACGGGTCTTAGACCCGGCATGATGACCCGGATTTGTCCGTTTAAATGATGGGCTGGACACATCGGCTTTCGTAGTGGGCTGTAGCAAGTTTACATATCAAACAGAGTTGGGCTCAGATGATTGGTAAATTTGGGACAAAACAAATATCTTTATTAATATAAATATATATATATATCAATTTTTTATTACTAGCTTACAAGTATAGAAGAATATTGTTATTGTATAAATATAAATCATCTCTTTGTTTTTTTTTTTTTTTT